CGGAGCATGCTGCACAACTTCTTGCCCAGGCCCTTGTCATTTCTAGGCTGGACTATTGCTATGCTCTTCTAGCTGGACTTCCATCATGCGCAATCAAACCTTGACAAATGTTTCAGAATGCAGCGGCACGACTACTCTTCAACAAGCTCAAAAGAGCCCATGTCACACCTCTCTTTATCTCCCTTGCACTGGCTCCCGGTTGCGGCTCGCATCAAGTTCAAGACATTGGTGCTTGCGTATAGAACATCCACAGGCTCAGCACCCTTCTACTTCCACTCACTATTACGAATCTACATCTCCTCCAGAAGCTTGGGATCTACAAGTTAGCGACACCTCGTGGTACCATCACAGAGAGGCTCAAAATCACTTTCCTGCAGGTTTGCATTGCACAACATCAGAAAGATCAGGCCCTTCCTAACGGAGCATGCTGCACAACTTCTTGTCCAGGCCCTTGTCATTTCTAGGCTGGACTACTGCAATGCTCTTCTGGCTGGACTTCCATCAAGCACAATCAAACCTCTACAAATGATTCAGAATGCAGCGGCACGTCTGGTCTTCAACAAGCTCAAACGAGCCCATGTCACACCTCTCTTTATCTCCCTTGCACTGGCTTCCGGTTGCGGCTCGCATCAAGTTCAAGACATTGGTGCTTGCGTATAGAACATCCACGGGCTCAGCACCCTTCTACTTCCACTCACTACTACGAATCTACATCTCCTCCAGAAGCTTGGGATCTACAAGTTAGCGACACCTCGTGGTACCATCACAGAGAGGCACAAAATCACTTTCCAGAACATTTTCATTCACTGTTCCTGGCTGGTGGAATGATAACAAAAAACAAAATGGAACAAACAACAACAACAAAAAACTCTTGCTTCTCTTTACTTAATCCCCAGTCTAGCTTGTACTTATTTGAACAATGCCTGAAACTTGGTATTACAAGCACTTCCTGTGTCTATTTGCCTCTTTAAGATGAATCGCTTGATGTATTCCCCAATTGTAAGTCGCTTTAGATAAAAGCGTCTGCTAAATGAATAAATTTAAATGTAAATAAAAAATATTTTCAGATTTTTTGTTTTGATATTTGTTATGATTATGATGTTATGATTTTCTAAACACTGTTTTGTGAAAATGCATATTATGAAACAACAATAATAGTTGGTACATTTAATTATTGACTTATTAAATAATGTTTTGTGCATTATAATACGTCTTTTTGTCATATTTGAATATGTTATATATATTATATATATATTGTTTAATATTTCTTTAATATATTATATATTTTTTAATAATCATTTATATTTACTTGACATATTGCATGTTTAAAAAAAAGGCATTTTATATTAAATAACTAGTATTCACAAACGTTTTATAAAGTTTGAGATTGACATAACTTTCTTGACTTTTGAGCTCTTTAAACTACTATAGTGAAGGCTTGGCTTATGAATATATTACATACGTCTCGTTGACGTTGCTTGGCAACATTCCTGGAGCTTCTAATGAGAGACGCAGGATTCGTAAACGCCCCAACTGTTCATCGCGCCCTTTAACCGTCGTTTGCCTTTCAGGTACGATTATTTGGTGAACGTGACGATAACGCGATTAATATTCATTAGCTATTTTTCTGTCATATAGCTTTTTTTCATTTAATATTATATTTCATTACCAATGCTGTTTTGCTCTAGGGGTTTCAGAATGAATGTAATTGCAAAACTTGGCAGTGAGAATGCACTGTATCGCTTGGAGAAAGGAAAAGTCACCCTAACTCAGGTTATTTTCATTCATTCATAAATGTATTCATGCATATGACATGACAGGACATGACATGACAGCATGCATGCATTCTGCTTTAGTGCAACAAAAATATTTACTCTTGCATAACTGGTTTCACATATCAGATGATTCCTGAGTTTGAAGCTGAGTGTCAGAAGGTTGCGGCTGATCAGGGACTTTCTTTACCTGCACAATTCTCAGCTCAGAAGCTTTTCAGTGACATCGGGCAGGCAGAATTCAACAAGGCGGTTCT